TTCATGCCTTTTTATTTTTTTTATTTTGAGACAGGGTCTAGCTAAGTAGCCCAGGAAGGACTTTAACTTATGACTCTACTGCTTCAATATCCCAGCATGTTGTAATTAAGAGACATTGCCACTGTGCCTGCTCAAGCACATGAATTTAAAGCCTTTGTTACAGAGTATATAGGAAGTTGGGCCAGGTGCTTTCAGTATTGTTACAGGGTAGAAGATGAGAAACTAAAGCTGTTCTACTAATTGCAAACCAAGAAAAGTAGAACTTAGCAGTCACTTGTCGATTTCTCTCATGAGCCCAGCATTTAATACGGAAAAGTACTGGAGACCAAGAGGCAGTAGCATGCATGAGGTCATACAAGTATAGTATACAGAGCCTTTAAGGAGAAACTTCCAATTCCCAAGCCTTGAGTTCAGTGGTCAAGGAGAGGCAAGCTTCAGGTCCTTGATTCAGTCCTTCTAGTTCCTCACTTAGCTAGATTATAATAATAGCATAAACTTATATATTCACTACTGATGAGGCAGGAACTGTTTTAATAAGTACTTTTCATATTTTAGCTCATTAAGTGCTCACATCAACTCTGTGAGATAGCCAGTCTTTCAAAGATGAGGGAAGTGAAACATTAAGAAATTAAATTTTCTCTAAGTTAGTGACAGAACCAAGATTCGGACTCTGGCTCTCTGGATTTGAAGCGTGCTTTTTTAAAATTAACTTTATTGGTATACTTTTGATGTACATAGTGGTCACATTAATCATAGGGAATTTGTACCTGCGCGTAATATATCTTGATTCTTCTTTTTGTCCCCATTCCCCTTACCTCCCTTCAACTTTTTTTCTCTCTGTTTATTTAGAAAAACTTTATTTCCATTTTTTCTCCTTTTCTCCTTTTCCCTTCCTTCCCTTCCTCTGCCCCTCCCTGTTTTCCTTCCCATTTGACCATTTTCTTCCTACTTCCCAGTATCTGCCATCCATTTTGGCCCTTATTTGTGTGAAGCACACTTTCTTTACCACTATTCTGACAAGCTAGTGTTTTGCCAAAGATACATATTTGCTAGTCTTCAACAATTTTTATAAAGTGTCTGTATGTGCTAATCCCTTTTGCTGGTCATCTTCTGGTCAATTTAACTTCCTCCTATGTGCTGACCTTAGTAGAAGAGAACAGTAATACTAGGTCTTGGAGCTAGGTGACAGTGTCGGGGTGTGTGCATGCGTGCGTGCGTGCGTGTGTGTGTGTGTGTGTGTGTGTGTGTTTACAGATGCATTTGTTTTTATTTTTGTTTTTGTTCTCATTTTTCACCAAGTCCTCCTATCTGAATGGGCAGACATGAGCTTCCACTTTAAAATTAGAGGGGTCAGACTTTCTTGTATGCATGTTGCCTTGTGTAAAGCACTTCACTTTTCTGATCCTTATTTTATCAATTTTGAAATGAAGACTTTGGACAGAAGTGATTTTCTTCCTTCTTCCCAATATCTATTGTCCGTTTTGGTCCTTATTTATGCCTTTGATTTCTCACACAGGAGAAACAGTGTGATATTTAAACATATCTGTCTAATTTATTTCATTTTAAATTATGGTCTTGACGTGCATCCATTTGCCTACAAATGATTCAAGTTTATCCTTAGTTATGGCAGAGTAATACTCCATTGTATATCAAAACCACATTTCCTTTATACACTCATCTATTGATGGCTTCCTAGACTGTTTCCAAGATTTATCTATTATAAACTGTGCCGCTAATAAACTTGGGTGTGCATAAATATTGCTGTGATATGATGCTTTAAATTCTTTCAGGAAAATGCCTGGAAGGGGAATAGCTGGGTCAAATGGAACTTATAGTTTTAGTTCTTTGAGCAATCTCCATACTGATTTTTATATTGGTTGTACCAATTTACACTCCCACCAACATTGTAAAGAGTTCCTTTTTCCCTACAGCCTCACTAGCATTTGTTATTGATTGATTTCTTGGTGATAGTTACACTGGAATCTCAGTGTTGTTTTAATTTGCATCTCTTAAATGACCAGTGATGTTGAACATTTTTTCATATATTTATTCACTGTTTGTACTTCATGCAAGAAGTGTCTGTTCATTTCAGATGTCCATTTTTGAATTTAGGCTTTAAATTTTGGAGGTCTGATTTTTAATTTTTTGTAGTTTTTTATATAATCAGGGTATTAGTCCTTTGTCAAAGGAATAGCTGGTACAAAAATTTTTTTTTCTTTTCTGTGAGTTGTTGCTTCACTGTCTTGGCACTTTCTTTTTCTGTGTAAAAGCTTTTTAGTATGATGAGCTCTCAGTTGTTGATTGTTTTTAATATTTTCTGCAATCAGGGTTTTGTTCATAAAGTCTTTGCCTATACTTATGTCTACAAGAGTTTTACCTATTTTATCTTCCAGCAGATCACGTGTTTCTCTTGTAACAGGTGAGAGATAGGGATCTAGGTTTAATATTCAGCCTGTGGAAACACTGCTGGCTATTTCTTAAAAAGACTTTTATAGTATAAACCATCAGTATTATTAGCTTTGTTGTTTTAGTCCACTGCTGATATCTGCATAGACAATTACAATAATTGCATAGATAATTAAGTTCAAAGGAACAACAAAATTTGGAGTTCTGAGAGCCAGATAAAACTTGGAATGGGAACAAATTGAATTTACTTTTTCTATAGACAATGTACTTCTTGGTGAAGAATCTCCTGTCTTCTACTTTTGAGTTCCTTCCTTGACAGCAATATTTGACGACTCTATATTCTCCTACATCAGTGGTGGCGAACCTGTAACACTGTGCTACAGTGGGCTGTATATTGTATAATTGAAAGCTCTGAAAGGTTCACTATTAATGGCATTCATTATATACATAACTATGGTTACCGTACTTGGAAGATCATCTTAAGATTCTTCAGAATGACTCTGAGAAATTATATCTTCATATTTGGGAAATGAATTCATGCTAATTATTTCCTGTATATTCTATGTGCTTTTAACTTGCTTCATCTTCTTGAAATAATTTTGTAACTATAAACCTTTAATTTACTTTGCTTTTAAGCTTCTTCTTCTGATAACTCATTATTCATACTGGGTCTAATCATAGCATTGGGAGTAAGCATGTGTATTATTCATCTGAATAAGTTTGTCTGTTTCATTTTTTAAAAAATGTTTTGGACTTTTAATTGGAATTATAATAATTTAAAATGGAGAAAATTAACCTTTCTAAGATGTCAGATCTCCTTACCCATCTACGTGATATCACTCTCCATTTATTTTACACTTTTGAGTGTATTTCAGTAAATTTTACACATTTTCCAGTTCTGCTGGTATATTGAAATGAAGTTTTTATGTGGATATTGATCTTATATCAGCCATACTGTTAAATTTTTATTAAATTTAATAAATTGTATATAGATGGTGTTTTGCATACATACATACTATAAATGCTAAGGTTTTTTTTCCATCCCAACGCATATGCCTGTTTTTTTCTTTGGGTTTTTCATACTTTAATGAATACAGTCTCTAGCACAGTACCAATTACAAGGCAGGCATCTATATGCTGTTCCTCCGCGTAAAAGGAATATTTTACCATTAAATGCAATAGCTGCTGAGACTTTTTGGTAGATGTCCTTTATCAGGTTAAAGAAGTTTACTTATATTCAAATTCTAAAGTTTTTCTATTTGTTTTAGTTTTGTTTGTTAAATCACAAATAAATGGCTGCTGAAGCCTGTTGGCCCTTCTTCTGCATCCAGTGACATTATCGGTTTCTTTTCTACTTTGATGTTAGTGAGCTTAATTACATTAATAATTTTGTTATTAAGTGATCCTTGCATTCCTGGAAGAATCTCAACTTTGTTGTGAAAAATGTTCTTTTGATATACTGCTCAACAATGAATTTTGGTAGATATGAACTAATTTCAAAATAGAGAAAAGGAATTAAAAATTTATTGAGAAAAGAAACTAAGGATTTCCCAAGCTCTTACTGGGTTTCTATTTTGCTACAGGGTATGAGAATTTCTAGTTATTAGATTTAGGTAATACCGTGATGAAGCGGGAAAGAAAACATTGGAAAGCTGCTTTTTTTTCCGCCCCAGTACAGGAGAGCAAACCCAGAATCTCGTGCATGCTAGGCAAGTGTGCCACCACTGAGCTACCCCAAAACCCCAAAAGCCTAATTCTAATCTCATTTTGCCCTTCTATTCACTTGAAAGAACTAATACAACTCACTTGGCTCATATGGACTTATTTTCCTCAGTGAATGTCTCTGCAACTCGGAAGCACGTTTTGGCAACTACTAACCATGTGACTTCTTTTGCTTTGCTAGCAACATAAACATGTACTTACAGAGCACTAAGAACAAAACAAAATGTGTACCTCAAGGAATTTCCCTTCTAGGGAGGGAAAACGTAATAGTTAAAAAATAGTTGTAAAACTAAACGATATATCGTATTTACAGACCACATGGCTCATGACAAGGGGTGATGTTGGGAAGCCTGGGAGTCTCTAGGGTAAGGGAGCAATAAAGAAGATCCTGACTGGATATGATGTTGAGCTGAGTCTTGTGAATTATGTTTATTTACTGATCTCCCTGAACCTCATTTGTACTCTCAGTTATTAGTAAAAGAGTTTAGACTGTTCTCTAGTGGTTTTTATAGCTTTGGAATTTTATCTCTTTGGCCCCAAAGCTATTTCTGCCCTTCCAAGACTTACAAATAATGTCATGTTTAATCATTTGTGGTCCTACCTCTGATCCTTGGAATCTTTTGTTCCATAAGCTTAGGTTTGTGATTGGCACAACAGAATCTTCTTGGTTCTATTTTATTTATTAAGTGATACCAACCTATTTCATTTCTAGAATAATCATGTTAACATATGAATCATAGTAGAGAATGAATCTGTTGACTTTGTTATATTTTTATAGACTTGCTCCATTTATTACTACCTTAAATTGATTTTTTTAAAACTCAGACTTTATATAATTTCTAAGCAGATTTCATTTGTATGTCTTATTTCAGTGCTGGACCCAAAGGAGACAACATTTATGAATGGAGGTCAACTATATTGGGACCCCCAGGATCTGTTTATGAAGGAGGAGTGTTCTTTCTTGATATTACCTTTTCACCAGACTATCCATTTAAACCCCCTAAGGTCAGTATGAAATTTTAAAACATATTAGATATATATAGTTATATATGCATATATTTTTAAAATATACATATCTAGGAATACACAATATTTAAAAGAAAATAGAACATGAAAAGTTACAGGCTATTCCCCTGCCTGAACTTTTTATTCATACTTTGATGCTTTTTCTCATCCTTCCTCATCTCCTTTCTGTGGTACATATTTTAATGTAACAAAAATATCAGCTATTACGGGTACAAATGGGAGGTCAAGTCTGAGCCAGGAACAGCCCTAGAAACTAGAGAACCAAAAGAGCCTCTCGCTGGAGTCATAGATGGAGACAACCTCAGGAGCAGGTAAAAGTAGAAGGAGCCTCACCAAGCATGCTGATAGCAGCAACTATGGCTCTGAGTTTCAACCCCTCCACAGTCCAGCTGCTCAGGTGTGGTGTACATGCTCTAGAATGGGCTCGATGGTTCACAGCAACTTAAAAATTGTGCCAACAGAATTTAGTCAAAAAGTATTTCTGAGAAGCTAGACACACACACAGTGGGGCATGTCTTCAGTCCTATCTTCTCCAGATGCTGGAGCAAAAGGATTAAAACTTCAAGAACAGCTTGGACAACTTAACAAAACACTTTCTCAAAAAAAAAAAAAAGCTGACATGTAGCTCAGTATTCCCTGGACTCAATCTCCAGTACCACAGAAAGGGAGAGGGAAGGAGAGAAAGGGAGGGAGAGAGAGAGAAAGAAAACTAATGGGGTAGAATGTGTATTTAACATAAACAAGGCCCTGGGTTCAGTCCCTTAGCATGGGAGTAGGGGGAATACACATGTATCTTTTATTTATTTATATTGAGTACCCCTGTGTTTATAGTAGCCTGTTAGTAAAACTGATTAATGTAGACTCATCCATGTTCATGTCTCAAGAACATACAAGAGTGCAGTAAAACCAAAATATACAAGATGAGATTATATACTTTTAAGAATCCTTTACATTCCTACCTACTGTCTTTTGAATGTTTTGTTCACTCCATAAGCATTTGTTCTACATTCTGGCAGAGGAAAAGACCTGCGAACACTGACTCTATGCACTGATCACCAGGAAAGAAATCTCATCCATCCGTGACTTCATTTCTCAGTGCAGAAAGAAATAAAAGTTTGAGTTGTAAATTGTAGTAAATAGTTTCAAAACCAAGAATACCCTTCCCCTTCACCATCCCTTCCTTTCTTTCAACTTCTCGTCCTTTTCTTCTTTTCATTCCTTTGATGCTAAACCAAAGCGGTAACTATAATCATACTGATTTACTGATGAAGAAATCATGGCACAGAGAAACTGACACTCCCAGCATTATGCAATAAGCAAATCCCAGTGTCAGGGTTTAAACCATGTCCTAAAACCTCTGATTCTTACTATATTATACAGTGTCTTTGTTGACAGGGTTTGGGGGCACTGCTGACCACCCAGAGCTTGCATTTGGTAGGTTTTCCATACAAAGCCATATTAGATTTAATACTTTCTCTTTTTACTGGTTGGGAACTTAAATCTTTCCATGCTATTTAGACTAGCCCATAATCACCTGAAATATCTGTTCTGTTTCCAGTGATTAGGAACCTTTCTCTGAGAGCCTCTTTAGTAAGAGATGTACAGGGTGAGGAAGAGGATGAGAAACTTAGACCAGGTAGTTGTGCTCGTAACTCTGGTGCAACCTGTACATCATAATAGATGTCTCTGAAAGTGTGTGGATAGTGTCTCTGAAAGCCCAGTTCCACATAGCACACTTATAAATTTCACAGAAATGGAAGGTGGACCTAGTAAAGTGAGTAAAATGATTGAGTTTCTGAAAAGGCCTTGGTGGAGTGAAAAAGTGGCCAAAAGCTATCAAGATAGACTTTAACTTGACTAAATATTATTTCATTGAAAATCACCCAAAAAAGTCATGATACAAGATAGGAAAGAGAAATCTGGCTTACTTTATATAAGTGGAATCTGAGGGCTTTTGACTGGCTAAAAAACTGTGGGAGCTAAGGTTCTTGTTCTTAAAGAGACATTTGTAGGAGTATAATATCTGTACTGTATCTGTAGTTAGATTTTATCTAGGATGGCTAAATCACATAAAAATGGAAACAGGATGTTAGTTATAGGAATATTTGTTACAGGGAAAATCTAACCCACCATTAGGCAGTCCACTTTTCACTAGCTCTGTTTCTGAGAAGGTTTCCCTTTACTAGGAACTTTCAAGATAAAGCTGAATTACTGCCTGGCAAGAATAGTACCAGAAAAAATGGAATCCCTCCTTTGACTGAATTGGACTTGACAACCTCCAAGGAAAAACAAAAATTGTTTGGTAACTTGAATCATAATTTAAATGGACACTTAATAGAAAAATGAAAGAGGTGTTTAAAAGCAAATTGCCATCTTCTTATTTTTCAATTTTAGAAACTGAAGGGAGAAAGGAAAAAAAAGAAACGTAAAAAAAGAAGGAAAACATGGAAACAAAGTTTTGTAAATGGGGAGAGGAGGAAGAGGAGTCAAAGGGAGGGTAGGCGAATGGGAAAAAAAGTTATATCTTGTACAGGTACAAATTCTCTATGATGAATGTGATCATCACATATATCTAAAATGTGCCAATAAAATCTAATTTAAAAAAAAGAAACTGAATTTTATAGATGGATACTTTAGGGAGAAAGCTGTTGACACAAGGATGTTTATTATTAATAATTTAAAAGTACAGTTTCTGTGCCTTTCTGTGTTGCAGTACTGTACTGTGCTAAATAGTCTACATTAAGGGTTTTCTTGGGGTTTTTTCCCTCTTCTACCCTCACCTTTGCTCAGTTTGATTTACAGAATATTTCCCAGTACTCAAGAATGAACCAGAGAAGTTGTAGATGTCAGGGAAAATTAATGGGGTAGATGTTCACAAAAAATTCCCTTTGGTTATCTATGTAGCTATGGTTATCTGTGGTATCTATGTACCATAAAGTTCATCTAAAGCATGACTGTACTTAAAAGATTTTTTTTTCCAAATTCTCATACATGGAACCCTTTGTGAACACCTTAAGCACTATATACTATAGGGCTCAAATATAGCTTAAAGTCAACAGAGTGATCTGGAATATTTCTTCTTACTACTTTTTAAGAGTAGGGCTTCATCAGTTTGAAAACCTCACACTTCAGTGCCTAATTTTTCAAAATTAGAGATGAACAATTTCAGCAATTTATTCCAGAATTTGCCTTAATTCTAATAAGGCAATCAGAATAACTTTACCAAGTATATAATGTCCATTAAACTTAGCATTCCAGTTTTAAATAGGTTGAATAGTAATTGTATTTTGCTAATAGCATAATTCAGTATAATTTTAGCACATCAAATTTCTTATGTGATCTTTATGTTTTTGGCTTTTTTACTGTATAGTATAACTTTATTATTTCAAAGTACAGTATTTAAGGGCTAAGGATATAACTCAGTGGTAGAATATTTGCCTGGGATGCACTAGGCCCTAAGTTTAATTCCTAGTACCACAAAAACAAAAGTATTTAAAATATTTTACATTGTATCTCTGCATAAATGACATTAAACCTTCAATTGAGTATTTAACCACCTATGGAAATAATAGTGTTTCTCTGAGAAAATATCTGTTTAATGAAATTTTATGTAGGAATCATTATAGCCAAAAAAAAAAAAGTGAAATGAACTGCCATATTTTGTTTTGAGGTGTCTCACTAAGTTTCCAGGGCTGTCCTGAAGTTTAGGTCCTTCTGCCTCAACTTCCCAAATGCTGAGATTACAAGAATGCACCACTATACCTGCTTTTGTCTAAATATTTCTTAATACCATCTTCATTTTTCAGTACAGATGTATATTTAATGTTATGGTTCAGATATCTATTTATTTGTAAAATAGAAATTGCTTTACATTTGCCAGGGATTACATTTTTATTATAAGTACTTCTGTGCTAAGATCAGTATTTTTTATTGTAAAAATTTAATGTGAGGGGCTGGGGATTTAGCTCAGCGGCAAAAGCGCCTGCCTGGCAAGCGCAAGGTCATGAGTTCGGTTCCTGGTACCGGAGGAAAAAAAAAAAAAAAAAAAATTTAATGTGAAGTATTTTACTGTTTTAAATTTTGGATTCTGCATATTTGTTATAGAATAAAAAGTAACTGCAGACTAGTAGAAGGGAAACTTTTTACCTAGTTTTATCCCAGAAACTGTCATGCCATTTTAATGTATTGCTCTGAAGATTTTTATTCTTTGTATATGTGAATATACATGCAATGTGCACACACTCACATTTCTTTTACCAAAATTAATCCCTACTCAGCTTCCTCACTTTTTTTACCTAACATATTTTCATTATAGATGCCAGTAAACATAATTGTATTACAAGTATTGAGGCTACATAATAGTCCATGTTATATAAATATACCAAAATTTAGTCCATTTCCAGTGATTGGAGATTCAGGTTTTCATCAGTACTTCTGTTATAATCAATATTGCATACTTGCATAATTACTCCTTGAGGCTAAATTCATAGACATAATTTTTTTTTTTTTTTTTTTTTGCGGAACTGAAGACCAGGGCTTCCCACATGCTGACCTCTGCCCATGAAATTTCTGGTTAGAAAAATTTGCACATATTTGTAGAGTGTTTGATAAAGGTTGACAGGGTGGCCTCTAGAAAAATTGTATTAATTCACATCATGGCTATCAATGTATGGTAGCATAGGACTTCCTATTCTGTCCTCAGCTTTGAGTGTTTTTTAATCTCTGGGAGTCTAATATATGAAAAACTGTCTTGTAGTTTCTTTAATTTACATTTATTTGACTGCCAGTGAGATGTGTATACCATTGTTCCGTTATGAAAATAGTTTTTCTTCGCAGTGCCACACTAAATAGAATTAACAGTGTACTGAAGAATTTAGAGAGTAATGAATATATTATATTCATATGTGTATTTTTTTAACCAAAAACACTGAAAATATTGTGACACTCTGTATCTAAGGCTGTGTCTCAGAGATTCTAAC